AAACAAAAAACATTTTCCTTGGACTTACCTCTGTGCCCTACAGAGTACTGCTAGGCAACTTACAAATAATTAAACTTTTGAGTACGGCACACATGAAGTTTCACTTATTTCTGTATCCCTAGTTGGTCGGTAGCAATCAGCCTTTTAGTCCTGAAAGCTGTTTTTTCCCATCCCGACCCTCTGCTTTTAGAGACTGCTCTCCAGGGAGGAAGGAGAACTTCCTCAGCACTAGGGGTGTTTGAAGCAGTGTCTGCTTCCTTGATCTGAATGGCTTTCTTCTTTGCCTAGTCAGCAGCCTCACTCAGGCTGGGACTGTTTGGTTTTAATTTTTGTATCCCCAGCCTCTAGCATGGTGATTTGTACCTAGCAGGTCTTTTTGATTTGATTGAATGCTTGAAATTAGAAATAAAACTGTACACAGAAAATGCCAACATCAGTGAAATTCAATCATCAAAATAAACCTCCAAGTACAGTTGCACAATAATTCATTAAGATAATGTTCCTCAAAGTCTTATTTTGTTTTAGGACTGGGTTTATGCCAGAAACTGATGTTTGAAAATTTGTATTATGGCATTTCCTTTCTGAATTTGTTAATTAGTTTGTCTAATCTTTTTGTTTCATACATTTTATATCTGTATAACATGAGAGGACATAGTTTTGACACAATTATTTTCTTGTTTAAGTGCTATAAAAAGTTAAGATGAGTGGCAATGCAACCCAGATGATTAGTGTGCCAGTCTGGTTTAGTGTAACCAGTTTTCAAAGTGGCATATGCAGAGCTCCTGATATTTGATTTGTGTGGAAAAGGAGAAAAGTGTGATTTTTTTTTCTTTCTTCTGAGCTCTGCTTTAAGGTCTGATGATTAGCAGGAGACCAGAATCTATTATCGCTATCAGTCCTAATCACACATAAAGGTTGGTAAGGGATCCTCATTCTCATTTTCTAAGTTGGCGGTTTGGTGTAATGGGAAGAGTTAAAACTAATAGATAAGTTAATTGCTCTTTTATTTTTTCCTTTGCAGAGTGAGGGGTTCCAAACAAATGAACACTGTCCAATGTGCTCGTTATGTTTACCAGACAGAAGGCATTCGTGGATTCTATAGAGGATTGACTGCCTCGTATGCTGGCATTTCTGAGACCATAATCTGTTTTGCTATTTATGAAAGCTTGAAGAAATGGCTAAAAGAGGTCCCATTAACCCCTTCTGCAAATGGAACTGAGAGAAGCAGAAACTCCACCAACTTTTTTGGACTTATGGCTGCTGCTGCTATTTCTAAGGGGTGCGCCTCCTGTATCGCTTATCCACATGGTATGTTGTTATCCTTTATCTGACGGGATATTAAATTCATAATAACTAACACTGTAGTTGTTAGGTCTAGGGCTATGTGGAAAACATTCTTTGGAGGAATTAGTTATTTAGAGTTTGCAAGGCAGAGGCGGTAATTAAGGTGGCTTTAAATCTTATTTTTGGAATTTTTTATTTCATAAATATGCCCTCAACTTTCTGTTTGAGAAGATGTACTAATGCATATCTATACACAGTAATGAGAGTATGTGATGAGCATAGGTAAATAATGTCTATGAAGTTCATCTTACTGCCCCTCCTAGGTGGTCATCCTGTATTTTTAATATGCATAATTTTGTTTCTGACAAGAAGCAGGGGAATCCTGCACTTATGAACAGGCCATTATCCAATCCATTAAACATTTATTAAGTGCCTACAGTGTGCCAGGCACTGAAAAGCTGGGGATACAACTAATAAAAAGCCAGCCCCTACCCTCGAGGAGCTTACAATCTAAAGAGGGAGACAGCACACATAAAAGGAGGCAAGAAAGTGGGGGTGAGGGAGAAGGGGGAAGGTGGTGCATAGGACACCATGGGGGATTGCCGGCTTTGGGGGCAGCTTGTTCTGTTTAACCAAGCAGAGCCGAAGATGCGAAGGGCAGTGATCTAAGAGTCTAGCTTTTGCCCTCCATAAGGGAATGCATTGAGAGGAGTTTGGTACTGCGCCCTTCAGAGGGGAGGGGAGAGAGGAGGTGGGAGGTGGTGTCCAGGCTTGGTGAGCTGCTTGATTAGTGGTAAGATTAGAGGTGATGAGCTTATTCCAGGAGAGGCAGCCTGTTGGATTGGAAACCCATCTGGGCAGCAGATGCAGAGTAGAGTGAATTATCACAGGAAATGATACTGTGAACGTAGAGGGAAGAAGCTTAGACTAGGAATCTTGGCTTCTGGGCCTTACATCACCAAGAAGTTATTAAGTAATTCCTATGTGCCATGTGTTGGATCAACATGGGGGGAATCAGAGTAAGGCAGCGACTCACAAGGAGTCCTTTCCCTCAAGGAGCCTGCATATATTAATTGGGGGTACAGCATGTAAAGAGGCAGGTCCAAGCTTTAGAGAGGGGGAAAGGATGGCAGCCTCTCCAGTTGTGTTGCATTTTTATGATTTGGACGCAGTTTTCATCTGCACCACTAAATATGCGTTTCTCCTTGTAGAAGTGATAAGAACTCGGCTTCGAGAAGAGGGCACCAAGTATAAGGCTTTCATTCAGACCGCCCGCCTGATAGCACGAGAAGAGGGTTATCTGGCGTTCTACAGAGGACTCTTTGCCCAGCTCATCCGGCAGATCCCAAATACTGCTATCGTCTTGTCCACTTATGAGCTCATTGTGTACTTACTGGAAGACCATACGAAGTGACTGGCCAGAAAATGGGCATTGGGAGAACAAAAGTGAGAAATTGCCGGGCAGTTTCTCATCGATGTTGAGAGTGTTTAAGAGACTGATGCAGGAATGGCTGAAACATCTCTGGCTCTTACCACCTGCTGGACTTTTCCTTTTGGATTCATGCTTTCTGGAAGGTTTTAATTCATTAACGTTAATAGTTAATTACAATTTTTTTAACTTAAGAATTCAGAATTAAGCAGCTACTAAATTAAATCATGCTATTTAATTTAAGTATAAATTTGGTTTGTGTCCTTTTTTTATGTTCATTGTACTGTCATGTTAGGCATTAATTTATTTTAGTAAAAATCTGCTCCAGAAGGAGAGCTGATTTGTAATCTGCCCAGATTTCACCCTGCTGGTGTCAGTCAGACGTCAGTGTTGAGGAGCATGTGGAGCAGAACAGATGGGGTCTTGTTTTTTCCTGTGTTATGTTTCATTATTTTTCATGTTGCTTATAACCCAGGCTTTCAGACTGCTGAGATCAGCAAAAATGATCAGCTGTCTAGAAAGAAATGGTTTAGAATGTGAAATTATTTTTATGGCCTTGTAGCCACATCCCTTCCTCACTTCATCAAAAGCATGAGTCTGTTCCTTAAGCCCATGGGCACACCTCACCCCTACAGACCTGCCAAAAATAATTTTATAAGTTGAGCTTGGACTAAAACCACATGACGACAGCCTCTCGAGATTGGCTTTGAATGTGTATTTCTTAGGCAGTCTGGTTTTCTAACCATTTGCTTAGAATTCTTAGAGAAACTCTACAGGACAAGGACATTTCTTTCCACTGAGGCATTTCTGTTATGTCCTAGAAGTTAAGCTATCTTGGGAAACGGGTGGAAAATTAACTGGTAGTAATGAGCGTCAGAAAAGGGCATGCTAGTTATACCACCTCTTTCACATGTGCTGTTTCAATGTAATAAATAAAAACAGTCGACTTCATTTGAACTGTGAGAGGTCAGTCATGTCAAAATTAAGTAGTCTCTTGACACTTGTAACTAGGATTTTAATGTTTTGTACTAAGGTGGTTTTCAGTTTGAATGAATAACATAGTTGATGTTTGTGACTACCATGCTTGAACTGTTTAGAGTTGTAATTTATGATGATTTGCAGATGATCTGGAGAGGGTGTTTTCAGCAGATTGCATTAAAAGGTTACTTTTTCTCCTTCTGGACTGGTCAGTTAGCATACTCATAAACTGTGCTGTAACTTGCTTCACCCACTGTGACTGAAGTCGGAGAACCATCATCAACAGAGAAAGCTTGAAATGAACAATAAATAGTCATACCTCCATCAGGGCTCTGCTGTAGTTGTGTCTAAGCTGGCCCTGGGGCTAGTGGCCGGGCCTCTGCTTCCCCTATGGAGAAGGACACCAGAGCCTTAAAAAGAGGCTCATCGCTATTCAAGTGACTCAGACAAGGCATTCATTTCCAGAATGCCAACTTAAATCACTCGGCCCAGCTTCTGCCCCCGGCTGGGAAGAAAGCACACATCCAGGGCTTGGGAGGGGTTGTGGAGGAAGAATATACATGGGGCATTTCCGTGGGAAGCTGTTGCAACAGATTCGTTGGAATTTTGGTGAAATGCTTATTAGAGAGAGGCCTCCCTGCATCACTTATGTTTCCCATGAAGATCCATCCTTGAGTTTTAACTAAAGTTGTGAGTAGGCACAATGCGGTGGTAGGAAGGGAAGCCCCGACCAGCTGCTGCTTCTCCATGCCAGACCGGGAATGCCACCTGGGGGCCTGGGGAGGGCCCGGCGGCCCTGTGCCCGGGGGCAGCCGGGATGGATGCCCCTGGACGGTCGGCCCTGTGCCCAGGGGAGGGCAGAGCCCAGTGCACAAATAAACAGGGCCAGCCCCCGGCTGATGGGAAAACCCCGGGGGTCACCGGGGATAAGGGACGGCGTGCCCCCAAACCCCCGTACCCCGGCCTCGCGAGTGTGCGCCCCCTCCTTTTTCCCACCACAGTGGGCTGCAGGGGAAGCACGGGCCGGCGACCCCCGGCGGGGAGGTCTTCCGAGGCCGGGCTGCTGCGGCGCGCCGGAGCCGCGGGGCGCGTGCGCGCCAAATCTCGGCGCCAGGCTGCCGCAGCCGCCCGGGCCCACGCCGGGAGGACGAGGGGGCGGGCCCTGCGCCGGCCAGTAGCGGCAAGGCCCCGCTCGGCCCGCCCCCTCGTCCTCCCTCCGCCCTGATTGGGTGCGCGGCGGGAGCGCGCCCGTGGCGCGGGGTGGCCCGGCGCCGCTTCCAAAGCGAGGCGGAGAAGGTCACGGCGGGAGGCGCGCGCGGCGCCGGCACGTTCGTGGAGCGGCTCCTGGCGTCGCACCGCCGGCCCTTCGCGCCCGAGCCACGCCGCTTTGTCCGCCCGGCCCGGCCCGGCCCGGCTGTGCTGCGCCGCTCGGCCCGTTCTGGTCGCGGGCCGCAGCGGGAGGAGCGGTCATGGAGGCCGTGAGCGCGCTGCTGGCCGGCTGCCCCGCGGGCGGCCTGGCCGGCGGCCTCGGAGTTACCGTGTGCGCCGCCGCCGGCGTGCTGCTCTACAGGATCGCGCGCAGGTGAGTGCCCCGCCCGTCCGCGAGGCCGCCCCCCCCCCCGCCGCGTCTCTCGTCAGCCCCACGGTCGGAGCCGCGCGGGCCGCCGGGGCCAAGCCGGGACTCGAACCCCGGGCCTTCGGGCCGCCCCTGGCCCCTGCGCCCGGCAGCCGCCTTCACGTCAGTTGCAAAGTTGACAAAAATGCCCTTTCCCACTTCCCCGCAGCCCCGTGAGGGGGAGGGGCAGGGGCAGGGCCGTGGCCCCAGACCGGGGGGGGGGGGGACGGGACGGGACGTTGAGTAGTGTCCAGCTCTCCGTGACCGCATTTGGGGTTTTGTCGGCAAAGACTGGAGTGGTTTGCCGCTTCCTTCTCCATCTCATTTTGCAGATGAGTAAACTGAGGCAAACAGGGTGAAGTGACTTGCCCAGGGTCACACAGCTAGTGAGTGGCTGAGGCTGGATTTGAGCTCGTGTCTTCCCGACTCCAGGCTCTATCCTAGTTGCCCAGAGACTCCAGACAGAGGGGGAAACTGAGGCTCCCAAGTTGAAGCTGTAGCCTCAGGGACACACCCAACCCGAAGGGACGCGCCCCCCACCTTTGAACCACTATAAATGCTGCGGAGGCAGCACCCCAGGTTGGGTGGGCCGTGGGCAGTCACGGGCAGGGGACTGTTGCTCACCTTTCCCTCCTTCTTACACATACTTTACCCCCACCCCCCCACTCTCTTCCTCTAACTAGACTCCATCTCCCGACTCCAGGCGTTTCCTCTAGCAGTGCCCGTGCCTGGAATGCCCTTCCTTCCTTCCCACCTCCATCTCCTTGGCTTCCTTCCAGTCTTAGCTGAAATATCACCTTCTACAGGAAGCTCTTCCTGATCTTCCTTAATGCCAGTGCCTGCCCACTATTATCTCCAGTTTATCCTGAGCACTTCAAAAAGTGCCTGGCACACAGTAGGCACTTAATCAATGCTCATTGATTGAATGAAGGACACATTTCCCTGTAATAGGATTATGTAATCCTTGTAGAGCTGAGAGAAAGGATTCCTTCCTTTGGAGAGGCAGAAGTATTGGAGTGCTAGGCTTTGGGCCAGGAAGACCTGAGTTCAAATCTCACCTGTGACATTTAATACCTTAATCCTTTCTCATCTGTAAAAGGAGGAGGTTGGTGTCCATTCAGATAGAAAAAGGGGCCCACTAATCCATACAAAAGGATCCCTGTGACGTATTTCCCAGTTCCGTTTTGATCTGGTTCTGGAGGCACTCAGCATTCCTCTGGATATGATGGCCTTACCTCTGAAGCCCCTTCTGGCTTGGACTCTCCAATCTCCATTTCCAGATGAAAAAAAATGCTCACGTAGGTACAAAGTGTCAGAGATGGGATTTGGACCCACGGATTCTTCTCTGAAGCTCCCATTTGCCTGATGCCTTCCCCTTTCCTTCTTACGTGTACATTCACCCAGATATTTGTGTGATCTCGCCCTATTAGAATGTTCACTACCGGACGGCGGGGACAGTGGTTTGCACGGTTGGTGTTTGCCTTCCTGGGTATCCCCAACACTGTGCTTAATGAAATACAGATCGATCTAATTGAAATGCAGATACTTTCCCCTGAACTGTAACACAGTACCTGCCTCCCAGGATTGTTGGGAGGGTTGAGATAGTTACATAGAAAGTGCTTTTCAGACTTTTAAAGTGCTGTATAACTGTCAGTCATTATTATTATCATCCTCATCATTCATAAACAAAGTGTGAATCATCGTGGCAGAACCGAGAATAAACCTCCTTTCCCCCAGGCACTAGAAATTCACTGGGGCCACGATCCGATCCGGCAGTCCAAATGCTGCTCCAGCTGAGCCGAGAAGCTGCAGGACGTTTTGGGGGGCTGCTCAGCATCTGAGGCTCTCCTTCAGCTTGTTCATCTGACCCTCCTCCTGGCTTTCTCTCTGAGGGCTCCAGTCCCTCCTTTGGAGAAAGGAGAAGACCCTAGCGGTGTTTGGAGGGAAGGAGGCCCCATGCCAGGCCTTCCCTCCTTGATGACCTTGAAAATCACCGTGGTTGTGACTGTTCTGCTGTTTCCTTCAGCAGTGCCCAGAGGGAGACCTTAAGTTAGTTGCTTCTTTCTGGTTCTTCTGCAAACCGCCGGGAAAGGGGTAGAGGGTGAGCAAGGGGCCCAGGGCAAACGGAGGGTGGGGATTGGCCACAGAGTTGGAGACTTGGAGGCAGAAAGACCGAGGTTCAAATTCTGCTGGGCAAGTCACTTAACCTCCCTGAGCCTTACTTTCCTTATCTGTAGAGCAAGGGGTTTAGACTAAATGGCCTCTGAGGTCCCTTCCAGCTCCTGTGGGGGAGGGGGGCAAAAAAGGCCCAGGATAGTTGTGTCCCTTCAGTCTGTGGTGTCTGGACTGCTGCATGGTCAGTCAGCCAGCATTGATTAAGCACCTGCTGTGTGCCAGGCTCTGGGCTAAGCACTGGGGATTACTGAGAAAGGCAGAAAACTGTCCCTGCCCTGGAGGAGCTTCCAGTCTGTTGGGAGAGACAACACGCAGATGCCTGTGCAAGGGCAAAATAAATGGGATAAATTGGGAATGATCAACAGGGAAGGTGCTGGCATGGACAAACATTGGCAGGGTGAGATTTTAGCTGAGAGGTGCAGACAAGAGGAGAGAGAACGGGCCAGGCCTGGGGCATCCAGAGAAAGCTCAGAAGTGGGAGGGGGGCCGTCTTACCCGGCATCAGAAGCTTGGGAGGTAGGGAAGGTGCCCCGGGGACTCGGGGTTGTGTGTGGAGGTAGAGGGAGCCACGGGGCACCGTGGGTAGAGAGGTAACCAAGGGCAAGGCGCTCACTAGCTTCTGGGAGACTCATTCTCCCCACCCGTAATGCCTGCCTCTCACAGTTGTGGGGGAGGCTCAGGTGAGACCTCAGAGGCATTGCAGCTCTCTCATTTTATAGGTGGGGAGACCGAGGCCCAGAAGCTAAGTAGTTTGCCCAGCATCACACACTAAAGATGTTAAATAAATCTTTGTGGACGTGAATTAAATGCAGTCTTCTCTCATGCTCCAAGTCTGGTGTTTGGGTTCTGCCACGTTTAGAAAATGCACTGGAATTGCCATGTCCGGCCTAACTCCTCACCTGCTGACTCTGCTGCTGCCCCCTCACTCTTCTGATGCTCGCTGTCCTTGCTGGCTCCCTTCGGGCTCGGATGTCCTGTGACAAGTGGCCTTGTAATTGGGGAGAGGACCCAGGAGCAGAGTTGGGGCAGTGGGACCTTTGATACTCTTTTGAGGTTCTTTTTTTTTTTTTTGCAAGGCAATTGGAGTTAAGTGACTTGCCCAGGGTCACAGCTAGTAAGTGTCAAGTGTCTTGTCTGAGACTGGATTTGAACTCAGGTCCTCCTGACTCCAGGGCCACTGCTCTATGCACTGTGCCACCTAGCTGCCCCTCCTTCAATATTCTAAATGGGATCCTGGCTGGCTGCCTTTCAGCCACTCCTAGATTTCCCCACTGTCCTGGTATCTGTTCTAGAGGCACAAGTCAGGACTTAAGATGCTAGACCTTCCCTGCTGAGGAAGGCCCTCAGGACTCTCTTCCTCCATTCCTGGGCCCTGAGCCTTGGTGGCTGGGGGCCCAGCCTTCTCTGCAAAAGAGGCTGATGACAGTGTTCATTCTCTGCTTCACAGAGCGGCTGTTACAACCACACGAGTTCAGAGTTTGGGGAGTGGTGAAGTGGGAAGGTTATTTTAAAAGTAGCAAAGTAGTAAAGTTTTTAAAAAATCAACAAACGTTAGCAACTCAGTATATAAAGAGTAGACATGGGGGGCAGCTAGGTGGCGAAGGATAGAGCGCTGGCCCTGAAGTCAGGAGGACCAGAGTTTAAATTCGGCCTCAGACTACTTGTCACTTAGTAGCTGGGTGACCCTGGGCAAGTCACTTAACCCCAATTGCCTTTTAAAAAATAGACATGAGGATGATGTATGAAAGTGAGAACTTTGTGGTGTGGGGTTTATGTTGTTTTGAGAAAAAGGGTAATATTGCTCTGTGGTTCTTTGGTAGGGGTTTGGATGAAAAGTTGTAGAAAATGGGAAGGGGCCACTCTGGGGGCCATAGGCTAAGTGCTTCCCAAATATCAGCTCATTTGATCCTCACAAGCAGCCCTGGGAGGTAGGTGCTGTTATTATTCCCATTTTATAGATGAGGAAATTGAGGTCAGCAGAGGTGAAGTGACTTGCTGGTAAGGGTTTGAGAACAGATTCAAACTCGTCGTCCTGCCCCCAGGCCCAGGGTGCTCTCAAGCTGGGTGGCAGACTAGAGAAGCCCAGCAGCTCCAGGTGGCAGGGGGGTTTCCCGTCTGCCCCAGGCCAGACATTTGGGTTTAGGGCGGGAAGCCAAAAAGCCCTCGTCTTGGGTTCACACCTGGAAGATCCCAGAAGCAAATGAGGGACATCCTGCAGCACTTTGCTGTTACTGTATTGGAGGGAAATTGAATGTTTTGGGAATTCTTTAGACAATTTGGGGAACTTGAGTTTTTGTGAAAATGTCCCTTCTTTCTCCTTCAGAAGGAGGAGTGACACAGGCCTCCTGGCCTCCCTCATTTTTGAGGGAGATTAGTCTCTTACTAAGTGCTTTGTAATAGGCAGAGGGCTGGAAAGGAATACCTGCTGAGGAAACAGCCTTCGTCATTGCAGATAGGGAGAGAGGAAACAAGCATTTAGTAAGTGTCTGCTGTGTGCTGCACACTGCTGAGTGATCTCACACCAACCCTGGGAGGTAGGTGCTGTCAGTACCGTGGACAGTTCGAGGGGCCTGGAGTCAAGATCTGAGTTCAAATTTGGCCTCAGTTACTAGCTGCGTGAACCTGGACAAGTCACTTAACCTCTATCTGCCTCAGTTTCCTCAGCTGTAATATGGGGATAATTACAACATCTACCTCCCAGCATTGGTGTGAGAATGTGATAATGGTAATAAATCACTTAGTACAGTGCCTGGCACATCATGGGTGCTGTCTAAATGCTTAGCCCCTTCCCT